GAAAGGATTACTGAGGTCCCCTGTCATGTTGAAAAAGGTAAGGTTCATTCTCCAAAATCATTGTTGTATACAGAGACTTTAAAATGTCTTTTCCTGAAGAATTTTACAGGTCCTTCAGAGTAAAACTTGAGGGTTATTCTCTTTTTTATGTCTATGGTCATGCATACATAGAACTATGCCCTTGAATAAGCAACAATCCAGGCCAGGACTGGGTGCTGCCAGCACTATGACACAGGTAAATCCCCTGATTTTGTTCAGAATATTTGCCATAGATACAGCAAGAAGTCCTCAGGAGGGTAGAAAAATATTGACTCTGTGCTACCTTCATACAATCTCAAACAGCATTACTTCTGAATGTAAAAAATCATACTGCAGGCACAAATGACAACTACTTTTGCTGCAAGCAGAAGGACAGTTAGAGAGAGTGTTTTTCACTCTGCACAGGTAGAGGGGCTCTGTCTAAAACACCTTCTACTAACTTACAGCCCCCTGGTTGTGCCTGGAGCACCTTGATGCTAACAGGTACTAGTCTAACTGCGTGGGCACATGGGACAAAGGCAACAGATGGCTCTATATGCTGGATTTCGTATCACAAAACTGACCCTAAGAATTATCTACAGGAAAGAACATCAGGGTTAAAACGGAATGAAAGGAGACCTTAGGGCCAAGAAGGCTTATGTTTATATCTTGGCATCAGTAAGGAACAAGGGCTTGAAGTTGGCAGTTGAGCAGCTGCACTCACAGAGACTGAGTGTCAACATGTGTGCAAGAGAGTGTATTTTTCTGCTAGCACAAACACTAGGGAGACTTGGCACCAGAACTTCAAGGGGCAAGATCCTGCCAGGACCATGAGTTTACTCTGACTTTACATTCAAAAATAGGATTTGGGGAAGCAGAGAGGCACATGGGGGTATGCTGCCAGTTCTTAATTTTTACTCAAGATGCACCTAACATGGTTACTGAGGGTATGATTGATATCTGTGTGAAGCAAGCTGAATTTATTTTTTTTTCTGTCCTGAGAAGCAGTTCCAGGTTGTGGCTTCAGCCACCAGGTGAGCAGTGTAGGCTCCCACAAAGTATCTTGCTTCCAGCAGATATCCCAGATACCAGGCCATTTGATCCCACCAGAAAAATAGTTGCATAACATGCCATGCACTGAACCTGGCCTTATAGCTATGGGCCTGTTTCGCTTCACTGGCCTGGTGGAAACAACTAGCAGGGCTTTGGCTCATGTCCAGCAGGCATCGTCCTTTCAAGGAGACAGTGTGAGAAAGGGAAGGTGCTGGAGAGTTCTGTCCTCCTTTCTGAAGTTAGGCCTTTAACGATGGTTTCATATTTTCTAAGCTGGATCCTTGTACCTAGGTCTGTTGCCAGGAGGGATCAGGGAAAGAGCAAGCTCAAGGTTCCTGACAGATTTTGGGACAGTTGCTATGCCTTCAGGAAAATAAGCACCTATAGCCAAACCCTCAGCTGGTGGTGACTGACAAGTGTCAGAGGAGACTGATTTATACCTGCTGAAAGTCTGGTACATGAAAAGAAGCAAAAAGGAAGCGGGGACTGTGCATCAAAATGTGGGAGAGCAAAATCCCAGAGTGGAAGCTGCTGCTGGTCTTTCCGAAACTGCCAAACACACTGTGGCCCTCTCAACCTGGATGGGAGTAGGATGGTGCATCTGCAGAATATTCAGCCAGTAACAGCTGTTAACCACATCATACTTTTTTTCTTTTTTCCCAGGGTAATAATCATGCCACAGATCATCTCAATTGCTCAGAATGATACCATATGGCTCAAGCAGTGAAATCATGCAAGACTGCTGCTTCTGAAAGCAGAATGTTCTTAGCCAGAAAAGGCTTTTCCTTTCATTCTGTGAATTTCAGACTTAACTGAAAACTGGTTCTGCTCCCTTGTCCTTCTTTCTGGTTTTATGGATCAAGTACTGCCAAAGTGAGCTGTGAAACTGCAAGGCAACACATTCAAAGAAGCAAAAACTGGGTATTGGCATCAGTGGAATGATGGCAGCATCTCTCTGTGCCCTGGATTGCTGCTTCTGACAAGGCCAGTGATGCTTGCTTTGCAGGCAGTGGATTTCCCTCCCTTGGAAAGTTCAAATGTACTGCAGTCATACATGCTGCCTCAGGCATCTGTCTCCACTGACTTGCACTGCTTGAGAACTGTAGACTCTCAGCTTTTCCTAAGCGGTCTGGAAAATACCACTGTTTCTTAAAGTTAAATATCAGTCATTTTATTAGCTGTAAATCTAGAAAATGAGTGTTCCCTCTCTCCTGCTTCTTAAAGTTTTAGGCTTTAGTAAGCCTAAAACAATGTCTTCTGGTATGTTAGAAGTTTGCTTGTTTTAGAAGAATCACTGATCACAGCAGGTTTTTCCATTTTCTAGGAGCAGCACTGTGAAGCAAAAGTGGAAGAAATGAGAATTGGAAAAAAATATGATAGATTTCCATAGGCCTGGAAATCAAGAAAACTATGTCTTCAGATCACCAGAGGCCCTAGAAGAATGGAGAAAAAGAGTTTTTGATGTTAGCTCTCAAGTAAAGAACCAGGCCCTCTGGCTCACATGAGATAGATTGAGGCAAATAGGCAAAGTCACTTCACTACAAAATGACACAGGTTTTCCTCTTAGAGAGATTAGAAAGAGAGACTGCATGGGATTTACCCAGGCTGAAAATTCTCGGTACAAGAGTATTTATAAAACTACAGTTAGTGTTTATTGAACTTGTTCTATTTTACTGCCTTGAACAAAAGTTTTATTTATGTATCCAAAAGAGGTTTTCTTGTTGTCTGTGTATGTGCCTGACAAATTAGTAAAATGCACAAAAGGTCAAGATACTGAAAAGAAACCCCATGAACTATTTATACACAGAAAGCAGCAAGTTTGGTCTCTTCAGTTCTATTTAATTTCTGAAAAGTGGTTTCGTTTTTTTTCAGTGCAGAGTTCTTGTTCTTCTGACTGTTCTGTATAACTTCTCTTTCAAGCCTAGGCATCAACACATTACTCTGTTCTTTCTTTTTCTCCACACATCTGCATCAGACGTTGTATTTGTTCAGCAAGACAGCTAAAATCATTGCCTTTCAAACTTGAACTATGCATTACACTTTCACAGCGAACTCTTGTTTTAAGGAAAACTTTGTTCTTCATCCATTCAGCGATAAGGAAAGAGACAATTTTACTGCAGAAACACATGATCTCAAATCATACACAGAGGGCTTGTAGAATGAGTACATCTCTGTATGCGAATTCTGATCTACCTTCATCCTCCATCTTTTGAGGTTTTCAGGGTCTAGATGTAATATAAGCAGCTCGTTTTGACAGATTTAGAATGTCTCATTTAGTAATTAGATTTTCATAGTATCAAAGAATCATAGAATCACAAGGTTGGAACGCACATACAAGATCATCAACTATCCTCCTATCACCATTACTAACCATATCTTGTAGCACCTGCTGAACACTGCCAGGGACAGCGACTTTACCATGTCCCTTGGCAGGCCATTCCAGTGCCTGGCCATTCTCTGAGAGAAAAAGCTTTTCCTTATGTCTAATCAAGATCTCCCCTCACACAGCTTATGGTCATTTCCTCAGGTCCTGTTTGTTGCCTGGGAGAAGAGACCAAACCCCTCCTCATCACAACCTCCCTTCAGGAAGTTGTAGAGTGCAGTGAGGTCTCCCCTGAGCCTCCTCTTCTCCAGACTGAACAATCCCAGCTCCCTCAGCCGCTCCTCATAAGACTTGTGCTCCAGACCCCTCACCAGTTTCTTCACCCTTCTCTGGACATGTTCCAGGGCCTCAATGTCTTTCTTGTAGTGAGGGGCCCAAAACTGAACACAATACTCGAGGTGCGGCCTCACCAGTGCTGAGTAGAAGGAATACTGAGTACTCCCTGTTCCTGCTGGTCACGCTATTTCTAATGCAGGCCAGGATGCTGTTGGCCCTCTTGGCCACCTGGGCACACTGTTGGCTCATGTTCAGCCGAGCACCAACCAACATGAAGACTGGGATCGGACGTGCTGAATGAAATAAAGGTGTGTATGTTTGCCAATTGCTTCTTGTAAATGCAGTAATAGTGCGAACAAGCAAGGGTTAGAGACTTCCTTCAGGTAAGCCCCTTCTATATGCATCACTATACATGCAACATAAGCAGAGTCAGTAACAATATTAATGGGTTACAAAAAACGTTCAAAAACCCTCATGACCGCGGTTAACTCGACAATCTGAGCTAATCCCTCTGTAATGAAAAATCCTCCTCCCAGCGCCCATTCTCCCCCTGCCATACCGATACTGCACAGCCCGTGCAACCTGAGCCGTCTGTAAAAACTGTTAAGGCTGAAGGCAGGGGGGTAGGTGCTAACTTAGAAGTGGGGATCAGAGGGAATGAATGCAGGGTTTGCAGGAGTCTGTGGGATGGGAAATGAGTTGTAATCTGGCCGAAATATCCAGCCAGTGTGTGCTGGAGCGCATCTGATTTAGTGAAGGTGAAGTCCCATTGACGGAGATCAAAATGACTCACAGGTCTCGGGCATTGAGAGCAAGAAGACCATCACAGCCCAAAGCCTTACTTTCACCCCTCTTTTGCACCCCTTGGTGTCATGGTTCTGCTTTTTTTGTTTTTGGGTTTCAGTATTCCACATCAAAACATCATGTAGTGTACGGGGCATTAAAGTGTCACTGCCCCAATCCCTGTACATTACAGCAGTCACGGGATCTGGCCCTTCCGGGTGGGGGGGGCGCTCTCTTGCTGTCTGGCAGTGGGTGCTGGAGGTGCTTTCCTGGCTGTTCCAAGCTTTTCAGGTTTGAATCGGTCCCGGGAACTCTCTCTCTCTCTCATCTTGTCTGATTTATTAATCTCAATTTCAATTAAGTTGTGTATATTGTGTTATCTTGTATTCCGATATTATAGTAAAATAAGTTTTCCTCCATAGATTGCTGCTGCTGTTCTTTTCCTCCCTTCCTTCCTTCCCATTTTTTGTGGGACTGGGGTGGGGGTGGAGGGCAGAGGCCTGTTGCCTCTGTCACGGACATAGATTGATCTGATCAACTCCGTGACAGATTTTTGGTACATTGGCGGTTCAGTGGTAGAATTCTCGCCTGCCACATGGGAAGCCTGGGTTCGATTCCCTGCCAAGACACTTGGGTTCCAGACCAAGCCCTCTCCCACCTGGATTCTACCTGTTCTGTGTTGGTGCCTAGTTGGTTGCCTTGGCAGCGCTGTGGCAACCAATGGACAATGCCCATTGGTGACTTCACTTGTTCTGAAGGAGTCCAGCTGCAGGTCAGTCTAGCAGCTCCTTCCCTGCCAACTTGTTCTCTCCACAGTAGCAAGATGTCTGGGCTAGAAGAATCTTTCCGTAAATTTGCAATATATGGTGACAGAGCTGCCAGCAGCAACAGCATGACAGGGAAAAACTTCTCCAAGATGTGCAAAGAGTGTGGGGTGATGGATGGAAAAGCTGTGACCAGCACTGACATTGACATTGTATTCAACAAAGTCAAGTAAGTGAGGCAGTGAGATGCTGTAGGCAAAGGAGCAGGCAGGCACTCAACGGGCATCCATGGATTCTTTCCTTCCTACTGCCACACAGCTTTCCTCCTGGTAACTTTCCTTTTAGTAACCTTTGTCTTCTTTTTTCTGGCCATAGGACCAAGGGTGCCCGCACCATCAATTTTGATGAGTTCCAGCAGGCCATGAAGGAGATCTGTGTTAAACGTTTCAAGGGCAAATCACCAGAGGAAGCCCTGCAAGCTGTGCATGGCCTCATTGAGGGGAAGGAGCCAAGCAGCGTGGGCACCACCGTGAGTAGAAGTCTTTATCCACTGTCCACCTGGAGTTGCCATGGGCCCCTGCATCCCAAGGGTTATACTTGCTAACACTGACAAGCCTGTCTGACCTTGTTCCTAATTCTGGTCTCCTTTCATGCAGAAAGTCGCAAAAGTAGCTGGGGTCGAGAGGCTGACGGACACTAGCAAATACACTGGCAGTCACAAAGAGCGCTTTGATGAGAGTGGCAAGGGGAAAGGACTTGCTGGCCGTGAAGACTTGACAGACAACAGTGGCTATGTTGGTGCCTACAAGGGAGCTGGCACTTATGATAAGACACACTAGGACTGAAGCTACTTTGGGAAGCAAAGATCGTCTTCCTCTAGGAATACATGGCAGAAGAGGCAAATAAAATCTCATGAAACTGACCTCCTGTGTGTACTGCCAATCTGCAATATGATAGGATGGGAATGGCTGGGGTGCATACAGCATGACCAGCAGTGCCTGACCACAGCCTTAAAAGCACTCTTACAGTGCACAGGATGTGATATAGGCCATCCCTGGGGAGGGTAGGAGTCCCAGTAACGCTAGTCATTACTTTTTGCCACTCCTCTTCCCTGGGGTTAAACCTCTTCACCCATTCACTGCACTTGGCATGGTCATTCATTGCTATTTCCCCTACTTCAAGCTGCTGGCAGCTGGAAAGGGTCTGTATCAACAGGAAAGTGAATAAAGACTTACGACTGTCGTCTCCTGCTCTGTGCTCATGCTCTCCTCAAGGTACTAGGGGATGGGAGACCAGGAAGAGGGTAGAAGTGGCATCCAATGGAAAGCCAAGGTGTTTCCCCTAAGTGTTTATAAGTTAATTTTTTTTTCTCTCTGAACAATAACTGGTCACTGAAACTTTAAACAGGCAATAAATTCTGTGAAACTCAGATTCAAGACTGCTTTTTTTTTTTTTTTTTCTTTCCTATGTGGCAATAGTGGAAGTGCATGCAGTAAAATGGATAGAAGAACACTGAAATACAAGGAAAAAATTAAGGCCTTATGCCAACTCTTCCTCTTACCTTTTATAACTCCGATAAAATACATTAATTTCTGCCCTCAGATATGTTGGCTTAGTACATTGTGTCCTCTACAAAAGTCTAAGCGAAGTACATGTAAATTAACTGGTAGCAGGGCATTGTCCACAAAAGAAAAGCTAATACAGCTGATGAAACAAAGGCAGGACATTCTCACCCTGCTCTGCTTCCAGTGGCATAGCATTCCTTATTTTAATGCAGTCAGCAGGTAAGTGTAACAATATTCAATACTTCAGAGCTATGATTATTGTTCCTGACACACTGTTATTGGTTCCTGGTGTGACTCTATTCATCTCACTGACCTTCAGCTGCACTGGTGAAAACATGGCTGAATCTGCAGGACTGCCTGACAGTGCCTTTTGCCTGGACACAGCTTGTCAAGTGCCTTTTCCTGCAGTCTCTTGCTCTTTCCAGGATGGATACCTTCCTGGTTTTTGGGGAGCGCAGCTAGTGTGTTTTATAGTGCAATACAAAACATGTGTTCGAGGTTCTTCAGTACTTTTACAGCCCCATCCCTACCCTTTACAAAGGCTTAACAAATGACGGGCAGCAAACACCTGCCATCAAGCAGAAAGCCACACTGGATCCACTGGCTCTGCAGGTTGCTAACACCCAGACAGATCAGCATTTGGGCAGTAGATGCAGGCAGCAGCAGTCTCACAGATATATCAGTTTCCAGGCTTTGTGTGGTGGTGGGTGCCTCCATTCCTCCTTGCTGCACTTTCAAACAGCTTAGGACATTCATATTTTGCAGAGGACGACAAAGCTTGTCCTCAAAACCCAAGCAAACCTTCATTATATTTCTTTGTTAAGGCCTCAGTTCCCTTGTAATTAAATCATACAAGAAATAGCCTACATAAAGTAGGCCAATGCATACAGGAATGTGTTGGAATACTAGCTTTTTTAGTTGTTGTTTTTTAGGGTTTGTTTGTTTCTTTTAATATAGCTGGCACAAAAAAAAAAAGCTGTGTGAACATAGGGAACAAGCTGAGAGCTTTGTACTAATGCCTGTGTACTCAGAGTTCTGTGAATTCTGGTTTGCATTATCTGGCTACAGCGTGACACTGGAAAGTGAATTTCTGAGACATGATTCAATCTGTATTTCATCCTGTAATCTAACTTATGCAGCACTTCAGCTCCAGCAAGAATCCCTGGCTTGTCCTGCCTACTCCTTATGAGCAGAAACCACAGAAAGATGCGGAATGCCACGCTTGCTCCTTCCAGTAGCTACAGAGCAGACAGATGGAAAGGAAGTCATGTTGGCTAAGGAGTTTAAAAATAGTACCTATTGCCTATATTGCTACATGATTCTGGGGAAGATTTAAAAAAACGTACAAATCAATGACAGCATCAGTAAAACATCTGCAAGAGAAAAAAATAAAATTGTTCCTTTGGAACATGCAGAAATATAGAAGATACCCCACTGCAAAGTAGGGCAGGAGGCTCCTGTCACACCACAGCCATCTGGTACCAAATTTCTCTACCATTTTTTATTTCCTTTAAAGACACCATATTGCCTAGCAAAACAGGAAGGGTAGGAGTCATCCCCTGGCATAGGCAGGAGTGCACTGTGTGTCTTCTCCTGGTGCTACCTGCCCCCTGATCTTTGTGGAAGCAAGGATGGCTGCTGTACTCCTCTGCTGCTAGAAGAGCTGTACTGATACAAATTGCTGGATTTGGGGAATCTCGTAGGAACAATGGAAACCTTACTGAAATAGAACGGTACTTTTCTAGGAGTTTATACTGAGCTATGGCTAATATCTCTCATGGAAAAGCAGAGAAGCATTGGTTTCAAAGTATGTATCTGTTGGGGAAAAAAAACACTGGAATTAGACACGCTGTCAATTTACAACCATGTTAATGCAATCAGGATAAAATATCCCTGAATCCCACTCATTGGAAAACGTGAGCTGGTAACTGTGGTGTAGCTCTTCACATCCCTCCTGTCCCTGGCTCCCAGCCTCTCCATTGCAGTTTTCTTGCTGTCTTCTAGAAATATGACTCACAAACAAGCTCAGTAATTCTTTGCTAGCTGGTCATTGCTTCAGGATATTGGAGGATGTTGCCCGATGTGCCAGTCAGATAGAAATCATGGGGCTGACAAAATCTGCACACAAATCAGAACAAGATCTACAGCTTTATGACTGTAAAGCAAAGGGAGGCAGTAGCACAGGCAGTCATCTTAACAGGTAGGAGAAAAAGATAAGAACGTACAGATGCATGTGTGTGTAATGGTTTTAAAAAACAAAAGTCTTCAAACTTCTTTTTTTTGGCAATGCTGCAGGATGATTGCAGGATGCAATGAGCATTCCTGCAGAGTGATGCTTGCACTGCAGCATGGGCTGCTGGCTCACACTATTTGCTATGGTACTGTTACACCTTTGCAACAGCTGAACTGGGGAACGCAACACATGGGTCTGACACAAGGTGGCACACGGCAGCTCAAGCTGCGGCAATGGGACATGCCCACAACAGGCATTCATTCAGCTACAGAAGGCATCTAGGTGCAACCAGCTCTTGCCCTAACAGCTCATCTACATCTACAGTGGTAGACAGACACAGGGAGTTAATGGTCTGTGTACCTTTACTCTAGGCTGGTCATCAGAGATATTTAAAATCAAAATCATGAATATTAATGAACAACAGTGTACAGTGCTTGCCCTCATTTTCCCTGCTTCTCTGATTGAGCACATCTTCTGCCTCAGGAAACAGTGGTTAGGCTTGATGCAGAATTAATGATAGTCTGAGAAAGTCAGTGAGTGTTTGCCTCAACTGACATATATGCAACAGAAAAAGGAAAAAAAAATATATATTGGATATTAATACATAATGTTAGCCTGGCTCCAGAGAGCTCCAGGTAATTGATGCTGCTTTCAGTGAGGTTATCAGTGTGTTGCTTTGACTTTTGTTTCATTGGAATTTATGGTGAACTGCAAGCCTGAACGAAGGTATGCATGCCAAAGGCCTGCCTCTTCTTCTACCATTATCCAACAAATTATTTCCCGACACACTCTGCCTTTCTGATCCTTGCTGCATGCCCCACCCACATTCCTCCCCTCCTTTTCCAGCTCCAAGGCTGGCTACAGACTTTGGGGTATCAAGGCAGGCTGTGCACCCCCCGTGACAAGAAGGACTTGCTGGAGAGCCTGGCTACTCCCCAGCACCGCTAGGCCCACCTGCAGGGACGGCCAGGACCAAACATGTCATGCCATAGCTTTGAGCTGCACCATGCTGTGCAGCATTGGCACAGAGCTGGGATATGGATCACAGTGTGTACGAGGTGGCACTTTTTTCTCCAAGCCTGGGACTGTTTAGCCTCTTGTGCTGTTTTTCTATTTTTCTTCACTGTGGTTGTCAGGAATCATGTGGTTCTTCTTCTTCTTCTTTTTTTTTTTTTTTATTAATCATTTTCTGCTGTCAATAATTCCCCCTTTTTCTTTTTGTATGAGCAAGACACTGCAGGTAAGCTGTTCCACCCCACTTAGAATGCAACCATAGGCAATGCAAAGTATAGTAAGTATCAACAGAATTATTGCTAACCAGCGTAACCTTCCTTACTTAGTGCTAATAACCAGGGTAAAATGCCACCAAACAATGAACTCAGCTACTTATCAAATGGGTTCTCATTCACAAGAATTGACTGAGTGTGTTGCTTTAACCACTGTATCTGAAAGGTTAAAATACAACACATTCCATCAAAATCTTCACACCCATGTCCCATCTCCCCCATCCTTGGAAGAAAGTTAGTGTAGCCTTGGAAGTATATGCAGGTCCGTTATTGTTTTCCACCAAGTGGCACGCTATCTGCCGTCTGCAGAGACACAACAGCAGGTGACATGGACAGGGCGGAGGGCAGGGGCAGCGCGGCGAACGTCTGGTGGTGGAGCGGAGGGCGAGTGCGGTGAGCATCATAGAAGGAGCCGAAGGCGGGAGCGGGATGAGCAGCAGGAGCGGAGCAGAAGGCAGCAGAGACGGGATGAGCGGCTGGGGTGGAACCGAGGGCAGCAGCGACAGCGGGGGGGGTGGGGGGGTGGGGGGGGGTGAGGGGAAAGGCACGGGGGGATTGCGATCTCTCTTCTGGCGAGGGGGAAATAATCCGAAGAAATTCTTCTTTGTCAAATTCCTTCCAGTCCTTCCATTATTTGGTGCCATACAGGCAAAGCCTTAGCAGCCATTCTGTCTTAAGTAATAGCCATCTGCACTTGTAAGGAAGGTATGTGGACATAATCACCCCCCCCAGCTTGAGCCAACCAGCATCTTCAGATGATCCCGCTAGCTGTAACGAAACAGCTACCTGCTGTTCTAATTTATGCTTCTTATCACCAAACTTGCTCTACTCTTCTTCCTCAAAGAATGTCCCTAAATATATGAACAAGTCCTCTGCCTCACCAAAGGCTAGTAATCCCAGCACTTGCTTAACAGTACCTGTATCCACCCCTCGCTTCTGAAAGAAGCACTGTAATAAGTTCAGGGCTACCTCTCCTTCCATGGTTATATAATCAATATATAGGCTCAGGGGAGACCTCATTGCACTCTACAACTTCCTGAAGGGAGGTTGTGGTGAAGAGGGATTTGGCCTCTTTTTTCCAGGCAATGAGCAGGACATGGGATAATGGCTGCAAGTTGTATCAGAGGCGGTTTAGATTAGACATAAGGAAGAACTGTT